TTTTTTTTTTTTTTTTTTTTTTTTTTTTTTTTTTTTTGGAGACCTTCCTGATAAATAGGTCATGGAGTCATACGGGTCTTTTTATCTCAGGTTCTTTGGTAATTTTCATCCATCATAGAGCCCAACAAACCCTCCAATGAAAGAACATGGCAATAAATGGCTCTTTCGAGTGTTTGTTAATTTGTTGATGTCCAGATAGGTTATAAACTGACTGATAAACTAATAGATATTTTTGGTGAATTATCCTAAATGTTTGTATTCCTTAGATTACTTGATCATTAGACTCAGTCCAGCACATCTGCCTAGAGAAAGATGAAAAGAGTATTAGTAGTTAGTGGCTTGTACCCACATACCATGAAGCCCAGAGATTCCTTGTTGGTTACTTGAAATGGAGGTCTCACGGGAAGGAAGGGCTAAGTGGATGGAGAGGGAGGGGTCTTAGAGATGAACTCCAGATGTTTCACATTCGTTTCAGTCAGAGCCATAGCATTTTATCTTTTTTTTTTCTTAATGTGCATTTGGGTTTAGTTTTGTACAAAGGGTTTTCCTGCCACAGAACGTTTGAAAAACCACTGCTAAAGCTCATTTAGGGAGACGGTAAGTTAAACAAGCAGAGACTGGTTCGTTATTAGTAGTAATTTTAGCAACTGACTGAGGTGAGTATGGATCTCTTGCATGGCAAGAGCTCTTGTGCACAAGAGGGTCTTGCTCCTGAATGTTGTAAGGGATAAAATAAAGCCTAAAGTCTCTTTTTTTTTTTATTTTTTGGAAAAACAGTACACAGGGAAATAGATTCCAGCTCCATATAAGTAATAATTGTCTAAAATCACAGGATTGATCCCAGAGTTAGAAGGAGTAGACAGCAAAGGAGAGACGGAGGGAGGGCGGCAAGAAGGGGGTTGGAAAGGGAGAGAACTTGACGTGTCCGAGCCTCAGGTCTGTCATCTGAAAATTCAAAGATGGGCATCTGCTCTTGTGAGATGTTCTGAAGATGAAATGATACAGTGTATGTGAATCATGACTGGAAGTGCTGGTATGAGCGGAAGGGAACTTCCATCAGTGCGAATGCTCTTGGTGGGAAATTAAAAACACCACTTCCTATCCTATGAAAGCTTGAAGAGGCGGGCAAGGACAAATGAAAGAAATGTCAACATTTTAAACATTTTAAAGTGATACGGAGCTAAACTATAAAAAAAGTTGAAGGGCAGTTTATATGAATTCATAAATGAATATTGAGCTCTTAAGTGATACTACAGTCATATTCCTGATTCCAGTGACCTTTGGTGTTGCTATTTAGGACAGGAAATCTAGCTGCTTGGTGACTGGTTTGGCCAATTACAGAATTGCTATATTTTTAAAAGTTAAGAAATGCAATCAAAGAAATGCAAATCAAAACCACAATGAGAGGGGCGCCTGGGTGGCTCAGTTGGTTAAACATTCAACTGTTGATTTTGGCTCAGGTCATGATCTTGTGGTTCATGAGATTAAGCCCTGAGCTGACAGGGCCCTGAGGCTCTGAGCTGACAGCATGGAGCCTGCTTGGGATCCTCTCTGTCCCTTCCTCTCTGTTCCCTCCCCTGCTTTCTCTCTCTCTCTCAAAAGAAATACATAAACTTAAAAAAACCCCAACACAATGAGATGCCACCTCAAAACTATCAAAATGGCTAAAATTGATGGCTCAGGAAACAACAGATGTTGGCAAGGACGCAGAGAAAGGGGATCCCTTTTGCACCATTGGTGGGAATGCACACTCATACAGCCACTCTGGCCAACGGTATGGAGGTTCCTCAAAAAATTAAAAATAGAACTTCCCTCTAGCCCAGCATTTGTACTATTACGTATTTATCAAAAGCATACAAAAATGAAGGGGGCACATGCACTCTAACAATGTTTATAGCAGCACTAGCCAAAGTATGGAAGGAGCCCAAATGTCTATTGACTGACGAGTGGGTAAAGAAGATGTGATGGAAATGCATGCATGCATGCACGCATGCACTGGAATATTACTCAGCTCTAACAAGGAATGAAATCTTAAGATTTGCAACAATGCGGATGGAACTAGAGGGTATTATGCTAAGTGAAATAAGTCAGAGAATGACAAATACCATACGATTTCATTCATATGTGGAACTTAAAAAACAAAACAGATAAACATAGGGGAAAGGAAGGCAAAATAAGATGAAAACAGAGAGGGACGCAAACCCTAGAACAGTCTTAAATACAAAGAACAAACAGGGTCGCTGGAGGGGAGGTAGGTGGGGAGATGGGCTAAATGGGTGATGGGCATTAAGGAGGGCACTTTTCAGCATGAGCATTGGGTGTTATATGTAAGTGATGAATTCTAAATTCTCCTGAAACCAATAAAAATTTAAACACTAAGTGAGAAAAAAGGATCTAGAAGGGATTTTTTTTTTTTTTCATGGAGTCTAAAAGCATAGTCCCTGAAAGCATTCTGTATTTGTCACAGTGGAAACCAGTAGCACATGATAAAACCAAGCAACCTAGAATAGGACTGATTAATTGCCCCAGATTAATAACAACACTTGTTCAGTCTAGAATTAATTCATGCTGAAAATAACATTGCAACAATATCAAGCATCTCCCTCTCTAGACCTCAAATACCAGGAAAGCTAGGCTAAAACATTCTATCCCCTGTGTGGAAATGAAGAGTGTGAATTATTTTGAATACAATGTATGATAGCAACAAAGCTACAGGAATAATCTGCAGCTATATCTATGACAAACCGAATAAACAAGAAAAGTAGAACACAAAAGAGATAAAATCGAGTTAGCAACTTTGTTTGGTCTTGCTTTCTCCTGATGTCCCCTCTCTGGCCCAGGCTATCATGAGTATGATAGTGGTGAGTTAACCAGCCTGGGTTCCTGCTCTAGAAAGGCTCCCAATCCAGTGGGGAGAAATATACAGATGAGGCAAGTGTGCTCTTGTAAGGACTAGGTGCCAGGCTTGCTGGAGCAGAGTGCTCTGTGTGCCTTTGACATGCCCCCCCCCCCTCTTTCCAGATTTGGGGAGTTGTAGTAGGTTTTCTGGAAGGAGTCCTAGCTAAGCTGTAAACTCAAAAAGGGAATAGAAGTTAGCCTGGAGCAAGTAGATAGAAGTGGACAGGAGAGATTTCCAGGCAGGTCTGAAGACCTGTGAGGAAAAAGCAGAACTAATAGCTATTGAGTAATGTTGGAGCAAGGAGAGTTTCAGGGTCAGGGCAAGAGGTGATGCTAGGCAGGTAAATGTGGCAGGCAGACAGTATCCAGCAATGTTAGAAGGATTTGGATTGAGTGGGTAGTTAGGTGTTTGAAGCAGAGGAGAGTCATGATCCAACTGGATTAGAAGGACCGCTGGCTGTAGCTGGGAGAGACCAGTTAGAAGGTGGTTGTGGTTGGGGTGCCTGGGTGGCTCCGTCGGTTCCAACTTTGGCTCAGGTCACGATCTTGCCGTTTGCAAGTTTGAGCCCCATGTTGGGCTCTGTACTGACAGCTCAGAGCCTGGAGCCTGTTTCGGATTCTGTGTCTCCCTCTCTCTCTCTGCCCCTCCCCTGCTCTCTTTGTCTAAAATAAATAAACACTAAAAAAAAAAAAGAAGGAGGAGGTGGAGGAGGTGGAGGAGGTGGAGTTGGTGTGGTAATCTGGGCTAGGAACATGATGTGACGGTATATTTGTGGGGCAATGTTGATCCTGGCTATAAAATAAGATGTTAGAGCCCATTTTTCATTTACGTTTTTTATCCTTTTTCCTGATCCCTTATCTCTAGCATCTACAAAAAAAGTCGTATGTTAAAAGTGGTTTGAAAATTATAAAGATATACACAAATATCAGCTATTAACAAGAAAGCGGGATGAAATGGGTCAGATTATACATAGTGCTTTTAAGTCAGGTATTCCTAATTCTTTCACTGTTGTGAGATTTTTCACATGAATTTATTTTATTTTTATTTATTCACATAGGATTCTATTTTTCTCAATTGTCAGGATATTCAAATTGCTGGTGGGAATATAAAATGGGTCTGTCCAGTTTGTAGACCAATCTGTTATGACATAATGAATTTGAAGTTGTATATGGCTCCTATATCCACTTCTGGCTATATGCTTCAGAGAAATTCTCACACAGTTTGCATATAAGGGATGTGTGTATTACTGGGGTATTCATCATAATACTGTTTGTTCTAATGAATGATTGATGAACGAAAACACCTAACAGGCCATTATAGAGAAACTGATAAATTGTGATTTATTTGTATAATAAAATGCCTAAGAAATCTTGAAGCGAAATATATATTTATGTATATAAATTATATATAATTTATAAATATAAATCATATATATATGATTTTATAAATATAAATCATATATATGTATATATGATTTATTTGTATACAGGGACAAATTAAAAAAAATTAATTCAGGCCAACCAAGGGAAGTTGTAAAAGGATATACTGTGATACCATGAATGTAGGTTTTAAAACTCATAAACCATTATACCTTATTCTGCATGTGTACATATGTGGTAAAATGCACACAAAGGCATAAGAAAACTCAGACCGACTTCACCAGTCTCTTTAAAAACATCCTCGGGGCGCCTGGGTGGCGCAGTCGGTTAAGCGTCCGACTTCAGCCAGGTCGCGATCTCGCAGTCCGTGAGTTTGAGCCCCGCGTCAGGCTTGGGCTGATGGCTCAGAGCCTGGAGCCTGTTTCCGTTCTGTGTCTCCCTCTCTCTCTGCCCCTCCCCCATTCATGCTCTGTCTCTCTCTGTCCCCAAAATAAATAAATGTTGAAAAAAAAATTTAAAAACATCCTCATAGTCTTTAGTATATTTATCTATAAATAGCAAGATAAGTTCCACCGTAAGATCAATAGAGCTATAAATTAAGCCTTTCTCAGTATAAATAACCTGAGTGTTCCAGATATTACTATGATTGCTGCTAGTTTCCATTTATTTACTGCTTCCCATACACTTTTCCATTTATGTGCTGGACTGGCCCTTTGGGAGTTAGCTGATGTTACCTTGGGGGATGTGAAAGCAATATTTGTCATTGATGACAACATCTGTTTGGAGTATGTGATCATATTTTCTCTCTTTCTCTATATGTGTACTACTTAGGAAATGTTCAATAAAGAAAAAGGAGGACGGATAGTGCTGCTCTTCTGAAGAAAACACTTTGTTCCACTTGCAATAATGTCTCTTTTTAGTCTGGACTCATTCTGTCGCAAATGTCAGAAACTGAAGTCCCCCTAGCTTAAGGCAAAATGAGGATTATGGGCTTGACTCCCAAAAGCCTGGGTGATGTTTCGTTAGGCACGGCTAGACCTAGACCCTTTCACCTTTTCTGTGAGCTCTGTCCCTCTGTTTGGCAGTGCTCCCAGGCAGACAGCCCCAGACTCGCTCACTCCCGGCATAGCCACCTAAGCAGCCAGAGAACATCTCTCCTGCAGGAGAGTCTTGAGGAGGCTTTGGATCGGTTTACCTCGGCTCACAAGCCCCTTTCTGAAACAATCACTATGGCGCAGAAATTAGTTGGTGTATTTGGTTCCGGCAAAGGAAGTGTGAGACACCAGGTAGAAGGAATAAGGAAGGAGTATTTCATTAAAGGGACTGCGGGGTGATGTTGCCAGGGGCCGGGTCCAGGGGGCATGCTAAAACTGGAGATGCCATAGAACACCTTCGATTCTCTTCTTTCATTTTTCTCCCTCACACACCTAAAAGAAAATGCATAAGAAATAGGCTATGCAGGTTTTAAGCACTCTTGAATTTTGCTGAAGCATAATTGACTCCTAAGAATGAATGGCCTTTCCTCAGGTGAAACTCTCCTTTCCCACCCTAATATTCCTCATCAGTAGCATCTGGCTGAGTGAAAATTAGGGAAGCTCCTCTAAGAGATGTACCAGAAATTGCCTTGTTCAGCGATGGGCTCAAAGATGAAACCCGTGCTTTCCCACTTTGAGAACATTAGCGATTGGAGCTAGTTCATTAGCTGCCTTAATTTGTCCCGATCCTGATGGAAGACGGGAGGACCCACCTTCATCAGAATGCTGCCAGAGTGTGATCTGAGTGAGCGCGATTGAGCTTTTGCTATTAAAGGCCCAGTAATGACTTGTGTCGGTTTATGCAGATTTGCACTGCTGGGTTACTCTGTGCCTGGCACTTGGCAATGCCCAGATAACATTTAAATCAGGCACTAAGTGTAATTAAGTACTACCCACAGCACAGCTCTCCTTTTAAGACATTTTTATTCACCATGATTTAGAACATGACAATTGGGTGAGATTAAAGCAGCAAATTGTGCCTATAAAACAAACCCCTGAAAATAGCAAGGGACTATAAAATTTTACAAAGGGAATACTGCACATGCCTCCAATCCGATAAAACTTTTGTGAGCTGCGAGATTAACTGTGAAATAAAAGTAAGCCCATACAGTATGTGCCACATCCAGACTATAAATCGCATATTATTGTTTAGTATAACTTTTATATTCCCTCCCCAAATGACGCCTTAGCATCTCGAGAATACCCCAGACAGCAAGCAGTTAATTAACCTTCAAGGGAATCAACTCAAGGGACAGGGGGCCATTCTGTGAGTGTAAGGAATCTGGGTGACAGTGTCGTAATGCGATGGTATTTGGTCTTTGGGGGATTTCTGTGGTTCTTGCAGTTGCTACTTTGGTTTCCTTATTTACTTGGTTCATGTTTGTATCCTGTCTTGTTGTAAAGGATGGAACTGATTTCCGAGGCTCTTGAAGGCTATCTGCTTTTTGCTTAGAGTTCCAGGGTTTTATGGCTTCGTGGCTCGTGACCGCTCATCTACCCAAGCACCTCTTTTTAAAAATGAAGAGGCTGAGGTTGCAAGCATCAAATGGCTTTTAGGTTCACATAGTAAGGTAGGGGGACACTGGATTCTCCTTCCGGGATAATCATGCCCCGTTCTTTTTGCGTGAGACTTTGAAGGTTTTCTTTCGTTAAATGGAAATAATGTATAGGCATTTTTTCCTGATTGTAATAACAGAAGACTCTTTTTTTTTTTATAACATTGAGAAAGTCCAGAAAATATTTTGAATTAAAAAAAAATTCACCTGTAATCTAACCAACCAAAGATAACTGCTTGTATATTGTGCATCACATCATTTTGTGTATTCTTC